TTTTAAGTTGCAAACAAAATTAAGGTAGTTAAAAACGTTTCGACTGAAAAAATTATTTCAAGCGCAAACACATAGTATATTTTAAAATAACCTTGTTTTTTTCCTAAATAATGCGAGGCCCACAAAAACCTTAGCTGAATTTTAAAAATCTAGAACAAAAATACTAAACATTGCTTTGCAGCACTAAATTCAGAACTCAACGTGGTTTATTTTGAACAAAAATCTTTTTCTCACATAAGGCCAAAAAATGACACAAACGAAAAAAAAAAAACAAAGGTGGAAGTCTTTTAATAATAAAACCAAGGAAATGTACACGAGCAATCGATTTAACAAGCATTAAATTATAATTATATAGAAACGAAACTAAATAAATAAAACTTCATTAATCAAAAAAAAAAAAAAAAAACAAGCGTTTGATTACATGAGTTTAATCATTTTATTAAAAATTATTATAAGTTAACCATTTTATACAAAAATAATTATAAGTTTATTTTGAGTTAAGGTAAATACAAAAGTCACTTAAGTTTTATATTTTACTTATGAAGCGAGGTCTAGTTTTGTACGTTTTATAAATTTGTAATGTTTAATTTTGCTTACATTACTTGTTACTTTTGTAGATGTCTACCATGGCATAAACGGAAATATGTCGCTGGATAGGCGCGGTGAGATAACCACTCCGCCCACGCGCTACGATCTCACCCTTGGATCGGATAAGTCCTCGTCGCTCTCGCGATCCGAGGCCGGCACATATGATGTGATCCAGGCGGAGATCCAGCATGCCAAGCGCCAGGAGCTGGCCACCGGCGTGGCCACAGCCCCCCATCAGAATGGGCACAACGGGAACGGAAGTGCTCACCCGCTGACCACGCAGCACGACATCGAGGCGGAGGTGAAGAAGCGCAAGTGGCCCACCGAGCCGAGCTACTTCCTGGCCAAGGAGCTGCTGATGACGGAGCGAACGTACAAGAAGGACCTGGACGTGCTGAACACGACCTTTCGACAAGTTTTAAGTCTCGGGGACGTGGAGCAATTGCAACCGCTGTTCGAACTGCTCGATTCTCTGGCCCAGCACCACAATCTCTTCCTGCGCGACATCGAGCACCGCCTGGTGCAGTGGGAGGGACGTGGCGGCCACGAGGCCCACCGCATCGGCGACGTGATGATGAAGCACATGGCGGCCCTGCCCATCTACGATGAGTACGTGCAGACGCACCTGGATATTTTGCACTGTCTGAACGACATGTACGAGGGGGACGACCGCTTCCGCCAGGTGTACAAGGACTTTGAGCAGCAGAAGGTGTGCTATCTGCCGATCGGCGAACTGCTTCTGAAGCCCCTCAACCGCCTGTTGCACTACCAGCTCATCTTGGAGCGGCTGTGCGACTACTATGCGGAGGAGCATATTGACTACGCCGACTGCCAGGCGGTGCACCACCTGCTCGTTCGCAGCACCAAGGTGATCCGGGCCCACCTGCCCGACTCTGCCAACTTTGTGGAGCTGTGCGAGTTGCAGCGGGACATCAGCTTCGAACAGTTGGTTCAGCCCCATCGCCGCCTCATCCGCCAGGGTTGCCTGCTGAAGCACTCGAAACGCGGCCTGCAGCAGCGAATGTTCTTCTTGTTCTCGGACCTGCTGCTCTACGGTTCCAAGTCGCCGCTGGACCAAAGTTTCCGCATCCTGGGCCATGTCCCTGTGCGGTCGCTGCTCACCGAGAACGCCGAGCACAACACCTTCTCCATCTTCGGCGGCCAGTGCGCCATCACGGTGAGTGCCGGCACCACCGCCGAGAAGACCCTCTGGCTGGCCGAGCTCTCCAAGGCGGCTGCGGACATTAAGAACGGGCCACCCAACATGCAACTGCAGCTGACGACGCTTAAGAACTGCAGTGAGTACATAAGCAACATTGCGATGGTTTGGGGTTTGTACATCATGGAGTTTTCCATTCAAAAGAGTTTTAACAATTGGCGCGTGTTCTCGTTGGTTTTTGACTTAAAATACAACTAAACTAAGCTAAATCCAATCCACATAAATATGACAAAATCAAGAAAATAAGTTTAAACCGGTAACCCGAAGAGAATTTATTATATGTCATGTACGTTAGTAATACTATTTTATTCAAATATTTAAAAAAAAACTACTTAGTGAAGTTCTTTCTCCAAGTGGATTATATATATTAAACTCTTTACAAGCCTTACTTAGTTTTGGCTGCATTTAATTGAATTACTTATGTTATCCTGTAACGGGTTAAATTGTTTTTTTTTTTATGTAGTTCGGGGAGTTTTGATTGCAGGACCAACCATTAAATTAAAAGTGAAGGTTTCCAAACTTCGGTCTCCGAAGCTAGCCTTCGTTTTTCTTGGGCTGTTGCTAAACTTTTTCACTTACTCTCCACTTTCTTGGCTGGCAAGAAAAGCACGCTGCAAGACCTCGTAAGCAAGCAAATGCACCCAGATCCCACTTACCCTCTGCGTGGGATGACCTACTAAACTACATTTCCAAACGATTTGCAGGTTCCTCGGAGGAGGGTCTGGACATGTTCGGGCTGAGCAATGGCAACAACAGCAGCTTGAACAGCAGCGTGAACGGTGGCGGTCCCCTGACACCGCATCAGCAGCAGTTGCAACTGCAGCAGCAGCAGCAGAACAGGACACAGCCGTCGCGCAGCAACACCGCTCTGCACGTTTGCTGGCATCGTGGCGCCACCGTCGGACTGGGCGATCACTTGATAGCCGCCGAGCACCAACTGTCCGGCTACCTGTTGCGCAAGTTCAAGAATAGCTCCGGCTGGCAGAAACTCTGGGTGGTGTTCACCTCCTTCTGCCTGTACTTCTACAAGAGCTACCAGGACGAGTTCGCCCTGGCCAGCCTGCCGCTGCTGGGCTACACGGTGGGCCCTCCTGGCCACCAGGACGCCGTTCAGAAGGAGTTCGTCTTCAAGCTGTCCTTTAAGAATCACGTTTATTTCTTCCGGGCGGAGAGCGCGCACATCTACAACAGGTAAGGCTTTTCACTAAGATTACTTACACAGGATATGCAATATTCATTAAGATTTACCAACAAATATTAAAAGATTTTTACATTGAGTGATTTTAAGTAGCAAGCTAAACTTGTAATGTTCTTTTGTAACACCTTAATTTAAGGCTCACTAAACTCAGCTGCTTTAAAATTCTTGTAAGAATTAAAATTTAATTAATTATTTCTGAAAACTGATGAGGTTGTAAAACATTTTAGAAATCTAAAACATCCGATGGATGCTACATAAAATATCTTTTTCAGTGCTATACTAAAGTTGAGAGAAAACAGTTGCATGAAAGATCCGCTTCAATATATCTTTTTACAATATTATTGCAAAAAAATGGATCTAAAATTATAGAATTTTCAATAACAATAGTTTTAAAATTTTCTTTTTTCTCCAACAGGTGGCTAGAGGTGCTGCGCAGCACGACCCAAACCCAGGACTTTAAGAACATACACAGCCATGCTGTGTTAGGCAACTAGAAAAAGAAACTTTTGCTGGCATAGACGCATTGGTCCCACACGTAATCCTTGTGCAATTCCATAAAGGAGGCACTCAAGAACCAGATACGCATAGAGACGCCTTTTAGTATTCTATTTTTATACAACGTATACACCACAATTAATATTTCCATTTTATATATCCCTACTATATCTTCAACTTTACTTAACGTATTCTATTTGTATTCATACAATACCAGCTTTAAGGTATTTTTGTAAATAATGTCTTTGTCGTTTTGTTTGGTTCTACGTCTATTTTGGCAATTATTTAATGTATTCCCGCAATAGTATGTTTATGTTGTAGCTGTTTTAGTTCTCCGAGTTATGTAACGCTTCGTATCAATTGATTAATCGATATACGCAACGGAAAAATACAAAAAGCAAATTGATTCCAAAATCAAATAAAATTATTGAAAGGATCTGTGTAATTGAAATTCTATTTTCTTACGTAAAGTATGCAATTTTTTAATCATAAGCTTAAGTCATTAACTTTAATAGATATAAACAAATTAAATAAAAATTTAACAAAATTAATACCGGCTTACAGTATTTGATTATTTTATATGTTGCTTTGCTGCGCATTTAGACAACTTAAAACAGGTTTGTAATTTTATAGTTTTGATACGTCTTACAGTCTTTAATGGGAACTTGGGCTGTGCGTGAGTCCTTTTCGTCCTTTTTTGGGTCTTTTAGATAATTTTTTCTCGTAAACTGAGGGTGATGGAGAAATTCCAAGAATGAGGTCGTGTTCAGCACGCCGAGATTTATAAGGCCTATATAGTCGCACTGTATTTTACACAGTATACACAGTTTATAAATAATAGGTTTAACAATGATTATCGAGCAATGATTATTACGCCAGCAGCTGGAAGAATATTTACTAATATTCTTTATTTCTTAATCAGCCAAAAACCGAATTTTTGCCAGAAAACGGAAACATAAGCCTGATGCAGGAAAGATGTACTCCTACATAAGGTTTTACTTGTTGACCCTTATTGAGAAAAATAAAATGCTCTCCCAAAATATTTAAATTTTGTTACATATTTTCAAAACTTGGTTAATTTTGTTAATGTATAATATCTGTAGTGTATATAGTGTATGCTGCGACTCCCCCAAGCCATCGGCAAAGTCAAATATTAATAATAAGCGACTATCATTTAAAAGAACGAAAACGCTTTCTTTGAACTATAATGTTAATATTATATTGTCTATATTAAGTCTGAAGATGTACATTGCAAATTGAACTCATGCCGCTGCATAATAAACGCTATTCTGTAGTGTAAAAAGAAGGTCTGGACACTAAACCGTATGCCTGTTCATCTACCGTACGCCTATTCAGCAAAGTAACGATGTTGAAATTCCAGGTAGAAACATCCCCTGAAAAATAAGAAATGGGTTATTTATATCTCTTATAAATGTTTGTAATTCTCAACTGGTTTTAGCTGTCCGTGCATAAAGTCCTCTGTTAGGAGTTTCATTAGTT